ATCTCGTCAGAAAGCTTCATTTTTTGACGCGTTACATTTGGATGAACTGGCTTCAATAAAAAATTACAACCCCCGAAGTATTTCGCCAAATGGCCTCTATGTCTCCCCTTTTCCGCGAAAGACAGAGGAAAAACATCTGTAATCAATGACCCACTTACAAATGTATATACGTACGTATGCAAAATTTGGAACGGTTCCTTCTCGAGTAATACGTAATGATACCCATCTTCAAACTGTATTCAGTTTGATATTTCTAGCAGAAAACAATCTAGAAAAATAATTTTTTCAGCTGACTAACTGGCACTTGTATTCCCTTATTAATGGACCTCTTGAAATTTTTTTCGTGTCACATAATATGGTTCCAAGAGACTCTTCAGATTATTACAGCACACTTTTTATCAGTTGTTTTTCTGTATTAAGTTTTCCAGGTCAACTTCAGCTTTTTACAGATAAACCTATAATTTTTTTACGCCAATATTAACGAATGTTGAAAGGATATTTATAATGGTGCTCATCAGTTGCAATACGTTCGTGAAAATGGCACATAAGTGCCAAGAGAAACTGATAAAAGCATACTATAGTCGTATTTTACATCTAGCGCGGTTTTTGGGTCATTTTTGACCCATCACCTTCTTATTTTTGTAATAACTTTTATTGTTACCAAGTTTACGTTCCCTTAACACTATATTAAAAATTTATTCTCCAAGTTTATACCGCGCGTTGGTAATAAAAATTGTTGCACATAAGATTCTCGGGTCATTTTTGACCCGAAACAGTAGAGTAATTAAACGTGGCCACCCTGTATATTGAAAATAAACGAAATTTCAGTTTCCGATGTTTCAGTCCTTTCGAGAGAGAAAAGAAAAATGCTGAAAAGTGTACTATAGTAATCTTAAATACCTATGACTATGGCGAGTACATAAGTATGACTCAAGATGACTCTTAAGGACATCCTCGAACCATACTGTGCGACGCAGATGTAATTTCTGTCTGTCTACTAACAGCACAATAATTGAACGTGATTATGTCACACAGCTCACCCGTTATATTCAAAGAAAAACCTTCAAGTGCCAGCCAATTCTCTCGAATAGCTGTTTTTTCTAACGATCCTAATTCACGAGTAGAGTAGGATTGTGGGCAGAGTCGTTCGACGATTAGCGATCGTGTAGAGCTGTTGTGGCCTGTATAAAAGGAGAGTATCGGTGCGTAACTGTTCGACACTGTGTCGAAAGCGTGTGTCTTGCGAGGAGTCGATCTCGCGTAACGATTCGATCGCGAGCTAGCCGATCCCACCTCGACGTCCTATAAAAGATGTCACAGAAGGGACAAGACGGCAGTGCCATGTGCGAAAACGACATGTCCACATCGAAAAGCAGCTCCCTGTTGCGGCTGAACCAAGAGTGTCGGAGGGTATCCGGTGATTGGCAGGATCAGGACACCGATTCGGAGATCAGCGAGACCGATTTTCTCACCAAGGGAGCGTTCCTATTGACGCCGAGCCATGAGCTCAGTATCGAGAAAGCGGCTACCATTTGCGAGAAGATGAATTTTCGGTGAGGATTTTCGTTTGATCGAATTTGTTGTAGGCGGGATGTTTAAATTTTCAATTTTGTTGTATAGAAGAGAAGTGAAGTTTTTTGAACGTGAATGTTCTGAGTGGGAAACTTTTGGAACTGAAGCTTCTTGAACTTGAGTGGTCTGAATGGGAAATTATTAGAATTGAAGATAGTGAACTTGAATGTTCTAAGTGGGAAACTTTTGGAATTGAAGCTTCTTGAACTTGAGTGGTCTGAATGGGAAATTATTAGAATTGAAGATAGTGAACTTGAATGTTTTGAGTGGGAAACTTTTGAGAATTGAAGCTTCTTGAACTTGAATGTTCTGAGTGGGGAATTTTTAAGATTGAAATTATTGGAATTGGAAATTATTAGAATTGAAGTTTCTTCTGGATGGGAAATCTTTAAAATTGAAGCTTCTTGAACTTGAATGGTCTGAATGGGAAATTATTAGAATTGAAGATAGTGAACTTGAATGGTCTGAATGGGAAATTATTAGAATTGAAGGTAGTGAACTTGAATATTTTGAGTGGGAAATTTTTAGAATCGAAGCTTCTAATTTTTTAAAATTTCGTAAATTTAGAAGTTTCAAGTTTTGCAAGTTCGAATCTTTTAAAGTAGAAGTTCATAGTTCTCTGCTCACTCTTTAGTTAACGTAATCGACTCAGCTTGGCTAGCAAAATTGAATTAAATTTAGTTTCATAATAGATATTTCCATTTTCATAATCAAAAGTTAATCTTTAAGAATTAGTGAAAGGATAAATTGTTTAGCTTTCATCATTCTTCAAATTGTATTTGTAATTCGTTTGATGAAGTACAAATTTAATACAGAGTTAATGGAAAAATATTTTAAAACTAATTTTAAACAACAGTTCAGTTAAACAGTTTTATATCTCAAAATTTATTTAGACGATAGTAAAAGATAGTAGCCGAAACCCAGTTATGTGATAAATTTGCGTCCTATTTTAAATATTTTTTTAAAAGCATTACCACTCAAATGATACATTGTATTCTCTGAAATGTCTCTAATGATTCAGCACACACAAATCATAACAGATACAAGAGTGAAGAGAATCCCTCATTAATTCTAAACGGAGACAAGCCAGCGTGACGACGATTTAATTGAAATTCTCGTTGCCTTCAACGTTTCCATTTTAATGGATGACCAACTAACTAATCTATTAAATTTCACCGATCCATTAAATTGTTTCCAAATACAATTAGCTTGTGAAAATCAGAACAGCAATTACGTAGTATAAAAGTTCAGTGAATTATTCAGATTCTACGTAAGAAAAAAAAAATACAGAAAAAGAAGAGAAAAGATGTAAAAAAGTTTCAATATCGTAATTTGTCCTCAAAAGCATTTTCATTATAATCAAAAGCATCAATGCTTGATAAAAATATGCAACGAGATCTTTAGAAATTAAAAGAAAAAATAGGAGTGCAGGACATAATATCGCTAATTTTGATTTTTCACTTTCATTCTTGATACTCAGAACTTTCCTATTAAATTAAAACAAAAACTTAAATTCTCTATGAAAGAAGAACACTCATTTCCAAAATTCGAAACGACAAAACCTAACAAATAAAAATCACTAAAAGTGAAAAATGCGAAAGACGAGAAATAAGGAATAGTAATTCTCACTTTGCAATTAAAATACTAAAACACGATATCACGCATTAAACAGTATTAAAATCAGGATCAAAGTTTATCCCATAATTCGGTTTCAGCGATGCCTTTCATCGCCATCTACACAAATGTTAATATTGCCTTAAAATTAATTGAAAAATATTTTTCCATCAACTCCGCACTGACTGTGCCATTCCAACATCCTGCCAAATTCGTCCTAAACGAAACTGGTTCTCGAGTACTGCCAGCCGAATCACCAGGTAAACAAACTAAACGAATTAGGCGGACTAAGAAGGAGGATCGAAAAAATGAGAAACGAGAGGAGAGAGGTTGTAGTAAAAGGACGGAGAAGATAAAGTGTAGTTGTCGTTTTGCATTACAGTGGCGCGTTCTCCTTGACGAAAACGGCCACCGGTATACTCTTCAAGTTCAGCAACATCGACGATTTTCAGGCGGTCTACAAAAAGGGCTTCCACAAAGTCACCGGGGCACGCTTCTACAAGAAGGTACTTATCTTTCGGTACACAAAGGACCCTCCTCTTCAGAACGCCTCTAAATACGACGTTTCGTATTCATGAACGCAGGTCGCCGTACCCTGTAGACCGGCAAAGACATTCACTGTCTACGTTTTGGACGTACCTGAAGAATTACCCGAAGAAGATATTAGGCACGCTCTCTACAAGTACCGGTCTATAGTTGAAGTTACGCGGCTACCACTTAACACGGGCACTGTTTGTGAGTATTTTTCACGTTGTCGTTGAAAATCTCGTTTTTCAGAATTTTTTCACAGCGTATTTCAAGCACCGTCGAAGTATAGTCGGGGCCACAATATAGCGAGGTCGTAAAATCGGTTAGGCGTCAAAGTAAACATGTTTTAGCTGCCGGGACCCCGAAATTGACAGAAATACGAGCAGATAAGTACTTGAAACCATGGTCAGGACCGTACAAAGAATTCTTGTATCCAGCGAAAGTCAAACTGATTCTAATATATTTACTGAAAATTGAGTTCAGCTAGGACAATTTAGGGTTTTTTTCTTCTGGGAAAAGCCGCTTTTGGAAGTACGGTTACAAGTAAAGGTCTTATTGAGGTCTTTAACATCTTCATTTACCTGCTCGTGTTATATACAGATAGAAAATGCAAAAGGATTGTGTAGCTTTAATATTAACATATTTTCCATTTGTAAATGAAATACCATTTTCTACTTGAAGTACCAAATCATATGCTACCATTCGTTTATTGTTGGAACCCTCAAACAGACTGTAACACACGGCCTTGAGTGCCGCAACATCAATCGATGCCGATTTTTGAGAGTTTAATTTACGACCTCGCTATATCGTGGCCCCAACTATATTTTCCATATTATCACTGACGATTAGATGGAAAAATCTCGCGTTTCAGAATTTTCTCTGAGCGTATTTGAACCAGTATTTTCTGCGATATCAGGGACGATCATATCGACAAATCTCGTTTTTTAGAATTTTTTCTTTCAGAGCGTAAAATGTCAATATTAGTGTGATCTTTCTGTCGAACTAGGTTGAAAGTTATCATTGTTATTACTATCAACATTTTTCACGACATCACTGACAAACGTATCGAAAAATCTTGCGTTTCAGAATTTTTCCAGAGCGTATTTGAACCACGATCAAATATCAATACAACAGATTATGATTTATGTTTAGAAAATTGAAGCCAACATATGAATTTTCAATAACAATCGCATAATTTGTAACTGACATTAATATTACACACCTTCTATTTTTCAACACTGATATCTCAGAATGTACCTAATTTTCACAACAAAAAAAAAAACATGCCTTGAAAAATTAAACAACGATAACAATCATCGTTCGTTGGAAACCAATTTACAAATTATTCACTCACGATCAAAACACACAAGTCTCCCTCAATTCTTATCGCAAGAAACCTTCGTCGTTCAGCAACAAGCACACCAAAACAGGAAAGGAGAAACAGAACCCGATAAAAGAGAGCAACAAAAAAAAAAAAAAACAGAGGAAAAGTATTAAGAAGCTTGAACGTTTGTAACGAAACAAAATTCGCGAGCTTATCGCAATTAGTTTCATTAATTCGTACCGTTCGCTTGGATCGTCCCTGATCGAATTAATTCACCCCCCGCACCCTCTTTTCACCGCTCATTTCCCTAACCGCGCGACCGCTGACCCGGTGTGTCTGCTTTGTGAATTAGTGAAAGCGATCAACGACAAGCTGAAAAGCGACGCTCACAACCAGAACGAGCCGGCTACGATTTACACCGGACCACCCGTTATAAGGGTTACCCTGGCCAGCGTGGAGGAGACCTCGACGTTGCTCAGCCGTGGTTTGGATTTTTATGGGGCCACATATTTCCCCACCGAAACGCCCCATCCAGCTGTTCAACCCCTAGCCAAATACAAAAACAACAGGTGGGAAACGAATCTGTGTTCGTGTGTGTGTGTGCTTGCATATGCTCGCGGGTACTGCTATCCACGTTTGGCCCATCGAAATCAATTTCAATTTATCGAGCCTGCTGGTTTCCATCCCTTTGCTATTGCTCGCGCGCCAGCTTTCCTTCTCTGTTAGAGGTTTTAATTGGTTGTTGAACACATTGTGCTAGCAGCGTTACATGCGAGTAAATGACATCCGCATTTTCTCGTTTCTGAACCTCCCCCCTTCCACTTTGAATTTACGCTTGCCAATCATTGTTACGTTAACGAATTTTATTAGCGTAATCGAGATCTGTTTACGTTCCACGGTTTACGCGGAATGGATGCTTCTCGATGATGCTTCCGTAATGCGGCGAATGTTGGATTAAAGGTATGAGTTGTGGGTAATTGGTTTCAGTCGGTGGAATACTTTTGGAATTTTTCTTTCGAGGTTTGAACGACGATGACGATGATATGGAAAGAATTTTATTATGTGCTAGCTGGATGTGTGTAATGTACTGTGAATGTTGAGTTAAACGTTGAATCCTGAGAAATTGGTTCTTTTGGATGGAATTTTCTTTTTTGAGGTTTCAATGATGATGACGATGATATATTAAAATTTTTATGGTGTACTAGCTGCATACAGATTTGAGGAATGTGTGTAAAAGAGAATGTTGAGAAATTGATTCTTTTGGATGAAATTCTTGTGGAATTTCTTTTTTTTTTTTTTAAATTCCAATGATGATGACGATAATATGGTAAGATTTTTATTACACAGGTACTAGCTGGATAAGGATTCGTTGAATGTGCGTAAAAGCGAATGTTGAGTTAAGAGTTGAAAGGTGAGAAATTGGTTTTATTGGATGAAATTCTTTTGGAATTCTTTCTTTGAGTTTTGAATGATAATGACGATGATACGGTAAGAATTTTAATTGTGTACTAGCTGGATATGTGTAAAATGTGGTGAATGTTGAATTATAAGTTGATTGGCGAAAAATTGACTTTATTGGATGGAATTCTTTTGGAATTTTTTTTTTAGATTTGAATGATGACAATGATTTTTTATTGTGTACTAGCTGGATGTGTGTAAAGTACAGTGAATGTTAAATTAAAAGTGTGCATGTTGAGAAACTGGTTCTCTTGCACGGAATTATTTTGGAATTTCTTTTTTAACTTTGAATGATGATGACGATGATACGGTAAGAATTTTATTATACTAGTATACCAGCTGGATATGTGTAAAAGAGGCACATCGTTGAGCGTAGAGCTACATTTTATAGTCCTTTTATAGAGATTGGTGTCTAAGGGGTGTATTTCTATTGGTGATGGATGTGAAAATGGTTTTCTTAGATTTGAATAAAGCACGCATTTGACGTACTATAAATCACTGTGATCTCACATGATTCATGACATACATATACAGATGTACGCTCTAGTGATAATTGATTGTTATCTGTGTAAACCTTATTTTGCTTCATTACATTGCTTTTCGATGCAATGCCAATTAATATTCCATACTAAACGCGTTTCTATCGATAATTGAATTTCCTATTTTCCATAATTTAGTAATGTATTCAATACACAGTATTTAATTAACATATTATAAAATTCATAATATTTTCACTAACAAATTAAACAATTACAAAATGTTCGATATTCTTCCGTGCAATTCTTATTACCTTTTTCAAATGCAATTTAATTTCAAGAAGCGGTGCTTGAAATGATTTCATACACTAAATTATATGCTTGTATTTTTTCATACCAACACTTCAGACCTTTTTCCAACCCAGTAAATAATACGTTTTTGTGCTTATTCGTCAATATCGACAAGGAATCTGTATTTTTAGCTCTAGGCTTTTTAAATCACCGCAAATTCAATATTGACTCTAGCATAACATCAAGTAGAGTACTTGAAATAAAACAGAATAAAGAGGTGAACTTTGTGAGTGTAGTTCATATCAGCTTAAATTTCATAATGCACGTAAAATGGATAATTATTCTCAATATTTCTCAATGACAGATGAAGAAATAATACTCAATTCCCTCCTTACATCCAAAAATTCATAAATTAACTATAATCACCGCTAAAATGATTCCAAAGTGTATAGAATCACGTGGAAATGATTCCGAAAGAAACGCAATGTATCTGAAATTTCATAACAAATAAAAGAATGTAGTACCGGCGCCTCCGCACCCAAATAGGAAACCTCGAAGGGAGAATAGAGAGGGAGTGGTTGGCGTAGCGCGCAAAGCCTCGGCTTGCTAAGCCTAAGGTCCCGGGTTCGATTCCCGTTGGGTCCCTCAATATTTTTCCGTCGTCGGTTCCTACAATAAATAAGTAATAAAATAAAATTTTAAAAATAAATAAATAATAAAGTAAAATGAATACAATAAAAAATTAAAAAAATACGCAATAGAATGGACAACAAAGGAAGAATCACATCAAATCCGATAGTGTCCACTCAAATTCGACCCTAGAATATCATTATCTTTCCAAATGATCGGATCCATTGGCGCGAGCGTATAAACGCGATCAAACTTGCAACCCCTTTCACCAATTAAATCGAACCTGACGCGTGAAACTGGCACGCGTTAATCCGGGAAACGTCAATTACCGAGTCCGCGGCGTTTTCATCGAGAAGACGACAATACTTGGGAGGGGGTGAATCGACGTTGTTCAGGAGTTTAGCCGTTTATCGGCCCGCGTGTGATTATTAGCCCGTACGGAAAATAGGCGAGCGGTATCGCCTAACGGAACACGCGTCGCGTTTACGAATCATAAAAGCCGCGCTTTAGCCATTCAATTATAAAGCGCAAATTGGAAACGCCGAAAATGCCGCGGAATCGAAATCTGTGCCCTCCCCTCTCTGGCTCGCGCCGGAAAAGCGACAAAGCGGCCCCGTATTATAAGCTCGCATGAGAACGTACAAGGCAGACTCGGCTTTCACACAGAAATTTACCTTTCATAACGTTTACGCGAGAATAATACTAACGTTATTCTGGGGAGACACGAGTGGACAACCGCCACGTCGTATTTTCTTTTATGTTTCGTAAATTAATGAGGTGAAATTGGATTTTCGTTAGCTGGGGACGAACGTTTGTGAACTCGCGTGTATGTGTGTATTGTGCTATATAATTCCTGTATAATAAAAGCAGAAGCTTGGGAGATATGTGTGAAGATGGTTTCTACGGTTGGACAAAGGGTGAAATTCGTTCGTTTACCGATGTTCGTTCGTTGCAAATATGGATACAGTTCGGTCTGATAGTCTTTGGAATTGTTGATCTTTCGACATTTTGATGGAATTTGATGTTTGTGGATAATTGACAGGATCAATTTTGCTTACATTTTTGTCTATTTCGTGGGCTATGTAAGTTCGGACTATTAAGTCATTTTGAAGAAATGTAGGTCATCTTCATTCTGGAAAAACGTTACTCTACTGAAATTAAACATTTTTATTTCAAATAATTTTCATACAATTTTCGATACAACTTTGGCAAGAGAATTAATTCCCTTTCCCATTAATTCGGTGCCCTTTCACTTTACCGACTCAAAACTGCCATATTTCTACAAACAGGGAATTTATCATTTAGATACCTAAAAGAGGTCATCTAAAATAATGGAGATTATTTTGAATATTAAAATTGTGTTTGGTTTTTCTGAAAATGAACATTGGAGTTTGTGAGAAAATGCACTGAATTAATCTGCACACTTAATAGAATCGACATGTTTATTAGTCAGCTATTACGTTCAAAAAATAGAAGTACTGATTTTTATTACTTTTATCGTGATTATAAACGCCCGATTTTTATAAGATGACTATATATTTTATTTACGAGTATTTACTATCTCAACCTATTTTCATACTTTCATAGTAACCTATATCTTTGTTCTTTCATTATCGTATTCACATTAACCCTTTCGCTGCGAAGATCATATCATTATTTTCGCATTTCACAAATAAAATATCACTGTGAACATTTGTCTGTCATAGAACAGTTGATTTTCAATCATGCGTATTTTTATTTTTATGCAGCGTTGAATAATAACAGTGTTTGTCTGAAATATGCCGGAGCGAAGGGGGTTGAAATTTCTCATGACACTAACTTCTATCATTTCTAATTCACAATTCTCACTTATAAAAACATCTACAACTTTCAATTACCTAACACTTGAAAAAACACTACAAATACTAATTAACCCTTTGCCTTATAACAACTGAGACAAGTCAGACTCGTAGCGCGAATTCTAGTCGAGATGCAAAAAGAGAACAGTTACATTACTGACAAAAATTAATTATAATTTTAATTTACAAGACTTACCAAATTGAATTAATCTATAATACATTAACATTTCTTAGCTGGTACGGTACTGAAATAGTAAATTATCGTTATCAGCGAAGAGAAACCACAAGTGAATGGTACGAAATATTCAGTATTTTCCATTCCGAATTCCACGCCACAGCCGGAAAAATCGAACCGCGCTGCAGTCGGGAAAGAAATAAAAATTGAACGGGAAGTGGTTCATTTTTCAAACGGGTCCGTCATCATTTCAGGTGGTTCGAGCTGGCGGCCATCGGCGCCGGACAAAGAGTCAGGGACCTACTTCCGGTCTTCGACAACGCCGGTTTCAACAAATTGCCACCTCCGGCCAGCCGGCTGATAAAACCGCAAAGAAACTGACACGTTCCCTCGACTTCTTTCATCCCGCCTTCGAAATTCCACAGATTCCCACGTTTGACGATTTCTAACCACGGAGTTTGATAGAACTCGAGCGTCGAAGATCGATCGAATGTGGGAGATCCTCTGTTATGCCGTAATGAAACCAGGATGGTGTCACATTTTTGTTCATTTAAGAACTTGGTTGCTGGGTTCACTTGCGAATGTGCCAGATAGAATAGTCTCTAAGGGGAATTTGGGAGTTTGGATTCAACGGGTGATTCGTTTCCCTCGTCGGTGATGAATTTTTTTGGGATTTGTAGGTTAGGTGTGTTAACACGTTCTCTGTCAGACTGGTCTGAGCGAATTTTTAGGGTGACCATAACAACTTTCTTTCTTTAACCCTTTCACTGATGTTGGAGCTTATAAGTGCTTTGGAAATTTTTTTCCACTGTGCTGTTGACGCTTTTTGGCACACTTTTACCCTAATTTAAGCTTTGCTCTTTGCGTGCTTGCACTTTAATTTTTGAAACGATAAATTTCAGAATTTAAATTTGGAATTTTAATTAGCAAACTTTTAAGACGATTCTAACACCTTTTTCTTGTTTACTTTTTTTCCTTTAACCCTTTCACCGATGTTGGAGCCTGTAAATGCTTTGAAAATTTTATTGCATTGTGCTCTCAGCGCTTTTTCACACACTTTCGCCCTAAGCCTTGTTCTTTGTTCACTTGCACCTTAATTTTTGAAACGATAAATTTCAGAATTTAAATTTGGAATTTTAATTAGCAAACTTTTAGGATGATTCTTACACTTTTTTTTTGGTTTCTTTTTGGGCTTCTTTCTTTAACCCTTTCTCTACTATTGGCGTCTATATTCTCAAACTGTGCTGCTGACGTTTTTTGACACACTTTGTCCCTAATTTAAGTCTTGTTCTTTGCGTACTTGCACGTTAATTTTTGAAACGAATAATTTTAAAATCACTGTCACTCATACATAAGCGACGCGGTAGAGAACGTGTTAAATGATAAATGAAGGTAAAGAAGATCTCATTTTCGAAGGAAATGAGATAATTAACCCCGGGAAGCCCACATTGCTCCCAGATTGAATGTCAAAATTTTTACCATGTTTAATTTAATTTCAGTTTAAAAAAAATTAATACGATAACTAATTAAGTACATATTTAATTTCTGACACAAAGGCAGATTGGTGACAGTTTACACAAGTTATTTTATGAGGAAAACTAGTCTAAAATATTGTCGACATTTTTTAACTCTCCTTTGTGCTTTCTAGGGTTAAGTTATGAAATTTTCACTGACAGGAAAAAAGAAACGTTTCTGCTTATTCTGCAATTTATTTGGTATTTCATGGTGAAAGATAAAGTTTCGATAATTTGAAAGAAACATGTTTAGAATAAAAGAAAATAGCAATTCGTGAAATGGTAACATACTAATTATTCTTAAATTTGTCTTTCATTTTCAATATTAATTTTTAAATATTGCAAAAATATTTACACAACTTAATTTGCATTTAAGTAATGTTTTCAATAATTAATTAAATGTTTCCCAAGATAATTCTATCTGGTTTCTAAACTTTATACGACAAATGTTCCTATTTATTGTTTTCCAGTGCGTGCAAGAATAATATTTAATTGCAATAACGAACCGCTGTTCCTATTCAAACTATATATTACTAAATTAAAAAAAAAAAAATGAAACGACAATGTAGAACTGATATTCGTTGAAAAAGATTTTCAACAAGAAAGTTTCATGTAAAACATGAAAAAATTGAAGATTTTATATGTGTTGAAAAAATAATATTTGAACCTAGATTCTAACGATTAACAAATATTTACGTTGTTGAAGAATGCTTCTATTTACGTGAAGATGCATTTAAGACTATTAATATTTTAACGACGATGATTGATTGTCTTTTAATATTTTATTAACGCAAATTGTTTTACATTGTGTAGAATGTAGAAATGTTCTGGCATAAATATTCAGATTGAAAAGGCAGAGAAGAAGTATTATTTAATCCTGTGAATCACAAATCACTTAATTTCCACTTCAACTTCAATATTTGAATTCTTTTCTACTTACTCTTAATGTCTAATTAATTATACGTATATTATATAATATTTCTACTTTTATAATTTTACTCATTTTCTTATAAATAATTACTTAGAAACAGTGAAAGAATTACTTGGTAAATTTCCTTTAAATGTTATTTAAATTTTGTTAATTTCTTATTGAACTTTTTTAAAATTTTCTTAATTTCTTATTAAATTTCTTTTCAATTTTACTTAAATTTTCTTAATTTCTTATTAAACTTGTTTGAAATTTTATTTAAGTTTTGTTAATTTTTTACTAAATTTCTGATTGACTTAAGAATGAAGAATTCCTCAGAAACAACAATAATCCCAAGAATGGAAACTCCAAAAAGACAAATTGCAGGCTGAATAGAAAGTAGGCTACTCTTGAAAAATAAAACGAAGACAAAGAAAGTAGCGCCCACTGCAAAACAAAGAAACAAAAATGAAAGAAACTCGCCAAGACTATGCTAAGAAAATATGGACAAAAGGTAAACAAAATAAAAACTCGTAAACGAAAGGAAAGCGTACTCGTAAAAACAACCCCAAATGCAATTACAAAACAGAGACCAAACTTACACTCGCACCAAGAAATACCAAGTACCCCAGAAGATGCTCCAAAAACCGAATTCACAAAAAGCTATTTCCAACGACAAAAACGAAAATACAAACAAAACGAAATAATCACAAGAAAAATAAGATCCAGAACCTAGAAAATTCCCGTAGAAATAAAAACTAAGGAACAAAAGGACAGGAAAAGCAGGAAAGAAGAACCACGAGGAACAAAAGGAATTAGTGTTTCCGGAAACGAATAAAAGAGCAAGAAAAGAAAAAAAGATGCAATGACGACAAAAGAACGAGGAAAAACCGGCGATGTATCCATTGAAACGAAGTCCTAAAGGTAAAGAAAAATCCACAGGAGGAGTAAAAAAGAGAAAAAGGGAAGAAGAAACGAGGAGGAACGCCGTGAGAGGAGATAGAGAAAGGAGTCGACGAGGCGAGTTGACGGGGCGGCAATAACGATAAATGTAAAGTTTGCGTACGCATCGTTAATACCATTGCCAGGCCGGCAATAATCGTTGCTGCCAGGGAATACGATTTCGCTGGGGGCTTACTAACTACTAATTGTTACCAACTTAGCGAAACGAAGAATCCTCCGGCTGCATCGCGGCGTTACTTCTTCAGATTAAAGAAATTTTACGTTCGACCGTTCTGCCCTCGAGACGAAACGCCCCGCGTTACCTTTTTAGGTTAGGTGCGCCGCGGGAAGAGAGAACGCAGACGATGATAATTGCCGTGTGCAGAGACCCTCTGGTACGGGATCGAATTTCGCGATTATGCTACTTTATTCGAGTACAACCGGCTCTCTCGTGACAGGGTCGGTTCTATGTTGGCGAACGGGTATGTGACGATTATTTTTTTAATCGGGAGATGGGAGTTGGGGGAAGGGGTAATTTGGTGTTCCGAGGGGATTGAGTGGAGTGTAGTTTGAAGGATTTATTGAGTAGGGGATTGTTGCGCCCTGATTAGTCATATTTGGTCGTCAGACCGAGGTGCCCACGTTCGGCAGACCGCAATGTACCCCCCGTGGACGCACCAGCACGACACTCAGACAATAGGTCCCAAAAACACTCGGGTCCATAAAACATTCGTTACCGGGGATCGGTAAAACAGGTCACAGCTTTCATCGACCAATAGCAGAACACACCACGTGTTCCACCTCCATAACACAACCACCAATCAGAACCGACCAAATGTCTATATATACACCTACACACCTGAAAACCGGCAATCTCTGTAAGACGAGTGCACGAGACACACAGTCACGAAGCGGACAATCCAAATTCAGCTAAACATCTAATCAAAACAAGACTTCATCAAACATCTACAACATCTAATCAAAGGACAACCAAGTTTTAATACACCTCGAACCAGCGAGAACAATCATCAAGCCGCGCCAGAACTCCCGGTCACAAGGTTTGATCAAGGTCCACGACGCAGCAGGGATGATTTGTAGAGTAGGGTAGCTGTTTTTCTGTTGGGAGTGAAGTGTGAAATTTAGGAGAGGTTTGAGTGTAGCATTGGCGCTCGTGAGTATTGAGACACCCGTTGTGTAGGGGTAGAAAGTGTTACGTGATTTGAATTGCATTTTTTGGTTGAAGCTAGTGTGATGGTTTAGTAAAAATGTGGATATTACTTTTTTCAATTGCGAGATGGAAATTTGTTGGAGAAAGGGGTAATTTGGTGTTTCGAGGTGATTAAACGGAGTGCAGTTTGAAGGATTTATTGAGTAGGGGATGATTTGTAGAGTAGGGTAACTGCTTTTTTGTTGGAAGCGAAGGGTGAAATTTAAGAGGAGCCTGAGTGTACCACTGGCGTTCGTGAGTATTGAGACACCCGTTGTGTAGGAGTAGAAAGTGTTTTATGATTCATATTGCATTTTTTGGCTAAAGTTAGTGTGATTGATTAATGAAAATATACATTTGTATATTAGTCACACTTACTTCAACATTTTTCAACGAATAATTCTTTTTTGGGATTTTAATCATTTTTTAATGACTTTTGTGAGTCTAATAATTTTACGTTACACTTGTAGTAACAGAGAGGCCTGATCCACGTTTAATAAGTGGATTTTAGTAAAATTCAGTAGATTTCAGTAGAATTTGGCAAATTTTAGTAGAATTCCGTAGGTTTCAATGAAATTCCAAAAGTTGCCAGTAGAATACAGTAAATTTTAGTAGAATTTAGTAGATTTTGACAGACTTGAGCAGAATTCAGTAGTTTTCAGTATACATTCAGTAAGTGTCCTAATACATGTGACTGTACGTGAAAAATGGAGGAAATTTGAAATGGAGGGTAACATACCCTTTGTTCAATATTTATGAATTATTAGTAATAAGGAGTCCTTTAATTCACCGATATTAATTTTGTGCTTATTAGAATTGTGGAATTTCTACTTC